GCAGTGTATGTAGCAAGATGATTAGATTGTGTTTGGCTCTGCTGATAAGGATTCCACTGAAGAGAATAGAAATTAATTAGAACAGAGGCAAAATACGCTAATAAAAAGGAATCGACTTACGACTGTAGTTGAGGAGAGAAGAGGACCATATCGGTGTAATAGAGCATACTGCTGCTGCATGGAAAGATTGAGTTGGCGCATAGATGTAGGACTTCGTTGAGTGAACTGCTTAGTAAAAAGATTAGAATCACTGTGCCGGCCCGATTGGGGTGGGCTCGGCTTCGTCGTGTGCTGTGAAAGGTAAACGATCTGTTGTTGCTGCTGCTGTTGTTGTAGTGTCTGAGCTACGCTTACTACTGCATGGGTTGGACGAGCTAGCCCGGCAGCACGAGTGGTGGACTTTGGAAGTGATAGGACTGAAAGAGACGGGGTGCCGAGGAGAGGTGTTCCTCTAGGAGTGAACGAAGAAAGATGATCTAACCCAACGGGTGAAGTCTTGATAGACATAAGGGGTGGTGGAGTAGGCTGCTGTTTTATAGGTTGGGCCGAATGGGGAGAATTTGCAACATCAAAGTTTGCATTCGACTGATCATCAGTGTCAATCAAGTAAGTGCTTTGGCAGCAATGCAGACTGGAAACATCATCCAGGCCATCAATATGGGTGGCCTGAGGAACTTTAGATACAGAGCCAGGCGAAGAATGTAGAGGAGCACCTGAGAGAGTTTGGCCAGAGCAATCGTCCGTCGGGAGATCAACAGTCAAATTTACCTTGGCTGTTTCTTGGACTGCAGAAGTCCGCGCCGTGGCTGATTTAGCCAGGCTAAAAAAAGATGAAAAAACTGTCTCGTAGTATGATGAATTAAAGCATGGATTGTGAATTTAAAGCACCAAAAATCAAATAATAAATTAACGTACGCGCCTCCCGGGGCTGGTTCAGCTTTATCATCCTCTGGTTTTTCGGAGCCCAATATTCGAAGGCGGGCAGCCGCATAATCGGCTTCCCGCTGTTCACGGCTCCTAATAGGGGCGGTAGGAGTCGGTTTCTCTGTCGGCTTGTCACCCTGCAGATTGCTGGGTCTTTGCAATATGCGAATAGGGAAATCCATTTTACAACTTAATTGAATTAACGAAGGCGAAAGCAGGACCTACGCGACGGGAATGAGTACTAGTCTGAACAGAACATATTTGATTATGCAATTTCATTTTCCTTGAAGTCCATTGTGAAGCTTAAACTGACTAATACAACCATGGCATGACTAGGAGTACTAAAGTAAGCAGGAGAGATGCTCGTAAAGCCCGGCAGGCAAAAGAATAGGGGATACTAAAACGAAGTAATCGGAATATTCACGTGAAGCGCTCGATATAGATTTATAGCATATAAATATCTATAGGACAAAAGTTTCGCATAGAAAATAGGAAACAAAGATATATTCTTTTTAATTCATTAAGGTGGACTTTGTTTCATGATGCTTGGCTAGATTCGACTGACTTCACATAAATATATACGCATGCCATTCGTAAGGCGGTTAATGGAGTATGATGCTTAGACTTATTATAACTGTAAATAATTATGAGGGGAGCACAAATGTCAAGGCAAAGTGTAAGTTGTTAGTTATAATGGGAAAATAATAGGCGAAGCAAGCTTCATAGATGAATGAAAATTAATATAGAAAATAAGGCAAGCTAAATAAATGCAAGATGAATATGAAAGAGGCAAATGTTAAGTTTCGGATTCTTTTTATGTAAGCAAAATACGAAATGATCAGATCACTCATAAGGGCGAATGTACTTTTGATGTTCATGATTTAACTGAAGTGGGTTGACCTCGTTGTCGCAACTTGGTCTTGTGTTCAGGGATTCTATGTAGAACGCACCGAGTTAGTTTTTGGGCTAGTTCGCAGGAAGGCAGGCATATCCACTTTTGGGAATCTTTAATCGTCCTTATTGT